CCGCTGTCGTCATCGTGGAACAAAACACACACACACACACACACACAAACATCAGTGGTCCAAAGGTCTTTGTTTTGTTTACCAGGCAGTAAAATCTTTACTCTGCTATTGTTGAGTGAAGGAGCAGCGGTCGCTCTCAGCTCGTACTCCAAAGTTCCATCAGCTCATCCACAAAAATCTCGTGGGGACAAGTTTGCATTTGTGGCCGAGATGACCTCGGTCTTTATTACCACATTATGAAAATTATTACAGTGAGTTCCATGCTGTGCGGTAGTAAATTGTGGCATGTATTTTTCTAAATGAAGTCTGGGAATTTTGTCCTCCACTTACATTGGAAGCACGTTATGAGGGGATCTTGTTGTGGCCGATAAGAATTAGAGGAATGAAACATCTTTAATGATGTGCACCTGCCCTGTTATCGTTACACAGACTAGCAACAATGGGAACTTATCATTTGATCTCTGTAAAAAAGGAGACGTCTTAAAATGTCTTATTGTGTCCAAAACCCAAAAGCTGTCAACTTAAATACGACATAACAGAAAATCTACATATTTCAGAGGCTGATTGATTGTTTCAGCCGTAACAGAAAGCCAATGATCCCACTAGATTCGTCGATTAATATTTAAATAAATGAGTTAACTCTATAAAATGTGCGATTAATCTATAAAGAACCATTTTGCAGTTAAACCCATGAAAATGAGTTCTTTCACCAAGCTGCTGTTTGCTTTTCCTTCAGTGATTCATTCAGATTCGAGAGAGAGTGTGAGGGTGAGAAGTGTTTTTTTTTGGGAGTCTTACATAACTCTGGTCTTTAAACACTACTGACAGGAGAGGACAGATGGAATTGACTGCGGCTCGATGAGATTTTAGGAGAGTGTGAATGTGTGCGATGTTACCGCATCGACACCGCTTAGAGGCCTGAAATGAGACAAGGAGGCGTCTTTGTGTCCGTGTGCTGGCTGTCACTTCCCTCCTCTAATCTGCACATTCACATAAAACCCGCTTATTAAAGAGCTTCCACTGCTCTCTCCACACATGCGTGGCTTTTTTTACGCCGGTCCTTTAACTGTACGACGAAATGTTTTCCCTAAACAAATCATGCTGAATCTGTCGCGTGGGAGTACTCGGTCTATATTCGGACTGCGTTCAGTGCGATCTATCCACAATGGTGAATGGTCACCTGCAGCAAGCAGCGACAGATCTTGAATTATTCCAGCTATTGTCTCTGTAACTTCACGTCCATGTGACATTCCTATCTGTGTGCCGTCACATCTGCTTCAGCGAGACGGAATCACGAGTTTTCAGAGTTTACCGTCCGCATCTATGTGATGTAGTGCCTTCAGGAGCCCGAGGATACATTAGCAGACACACCAGCTTTCGATGATCATTTGTTCGTCGTGCATTAGAGGCACAAACGGCCACGCCTGCAGTGTCTGTTTGAACCAGGATGGGCTGCCTGCTGCCGTCTCTGGGACTCTCGGACTGTGCACAGGCCCCGGGACGTTCAGCTGGTTTCCTGTCATTGTTGTTGGTGGAAGATGCCCCCCCCCCCTCTTGATCTCCTCAGGGCTCAACACTAACCTTTGCTAAGCTGCTTGGACTCAGCTCTTGGTTTGAGGCATTTTTAGTCACCTTGTATATACGTCAGCTACATGTCATGTGTGTGTTGTACATGCTTTGTAGTATAATTGTCCGTCTAGACCAGCGTTCAGATCATCTGGTTCGAATCAATTGTTTGTGACGTTGACAAGCTTCGTCGAACTTTTCACTCCGCAGTCAAACAACTTAGTTTTCTTCCCCGTTGACTCTAAAACAGATGCCCGCGCACACACGAGTGAACGCACCAACACCCACGCAACTTTGTGCGTTAAAGAGTGGTTGCCACTGATGGCAACCAAAGGCCAAGAAGGGGTTGCCAAATTCTCAAAATAGTTGCCAATTGCAACTTTTTCTCACCCTCGTGCTGCAGCACGTAACAGGACAGCTGAACTACAGCTCGAAGGTTCGAGTTCTCACCGTCTCTCTGTGTCTCTCTGTGTGTGTGTGTGTGTGTGTGTGTGTGTGTGTGTGTGTGTGTGTGTGAGCAGCTAAATACCTGCAATGAAAACAGGATACATAATGAGTCAAATGCAACACTGGTTGAATCGCGTGTCGTTCCAGCAGCAGACACAGAATCCTGAAAGTAAACAGTGTCTCCAGCTGTGTTTGTTGGTTTGCTTATCATTGAAGCCATTGTGACAAAGCCACGTATTGTTCAGCCTGTGTTTGGGTAAAGGAGTGTTTGTCTGGTCAGATTATATTCCATAATTCATGCCGACTTGCCGCACGCGGCGTTTGGTCATATGATGCGTTTGTCTATGTTTTGTGTGGGTGTTTTCACGTTAATGTATGTGTGTGTGAGTGTGTGAGTGTGTGCATGTCGCTTCTCTTTGTTGATCGTTGGGCTGTGAGTTTCAGGGGAAACGGAGGGTGTTCAGGGCTTCACTTTGTTTCAATTTAAAGATTTGTCTATTTTATAAGTTTGTTGATGATAAAGTAGAAGCACAATTTCAACTGTGATAGGATGATAAATATACATACAATACAGACAATAGAAAGGAGATGTATTAAGAAATAATTGACTATTAATGTAAAAATGCAAATACTGTACTTTATAATGGGTGATACTGACTCAATCAAATACCACAGAAACACTTCATTGATACTGTGTATCTATCAATAGCAGCTAAATATAGATACATGCACTCAATAAATGTATATCAATACTGTTGTTTAAGGCTGTTTTTATGTGTATTATGGGCAGTAATCTCAGTAACTCATGACACAATACTATCACAAAAACTATCACCGGTGTTTCTGCAACACAGTCACGCACATCACAACATCTGTCTGACAAAGAAGTGGAAAGTAGAAACGGTGAAAACATACCATCATAGTGTGTTCAGCCTTGTTGTTTTCGCCCTGTGTGTAACTATGTTTGAGGCAGTGTTTGGCAGACAGAGGAGGGAGGACAGGGTGAGGACAACAAAGGTCTGCGACC